ATTTCTTATGCTTTGAAGTTTATGTATATTAAAGCGCTTCACCTCAGGGACTGATACTCTCTGACAAGGCCTTCATCAGTGGTTGCTTCCACAGGGATATTTTTAAGCAGTTCCACCTGTTAATACATATTAGGTTATTAGATCTCTGAGAAAAAGAGCATTTTAAGGCTGGAACACTACACTACGTTGGAACAGATTTTAAAACACATTTGCCAACTTTATAAATGGTTACAGAGAAATAAAAAAGACTGAGGGTCACACACTACCAGACTTTCAAGTCATTCTGAACACAACAAACTCAAGCAGAAACACGTGCCTCGTTGCTAGGAGATGCATGACAAATGAAAACAATAGGTGTACTAAAATTGGCTCAAAAAAACAAACATGTTACAGTAATGGCAGAATATGGGGATTTTAGTAAATAGCTGAAGAAGTGTCTCACTTGTTCCTTCAGCTGGCTGACTGTGTGTTGTGTGGCCTGCTGTTTCTCATTGGCCTCTTTCAGCTGCACCTTCAGTTCTGATATGCTGGAGTTTTTCTTTACGATTTCACTCTCAAGACCTTTCATCTTGTTTTCAAATAACCTGTGAAGGGAAAAATGAATAATAATAGCTTACATGATGACAAAACTGATTAAGTATTTAGGTAAATGTACTACCTGGAAACAACTGAAGATTTCCAGGCCTTGCTGTCCGCCCCCTCTAAAGACGGCACCTTTGACTGTGCCAATAAGAGCCTCTGATTGGTCTCCTCAAGCCCTGCCTTTAGTTTCTCATTGGCTACTTCAAGGTTGGCCTTTGCAACCCTCAGCTTATCTGCAGTTTCTGCTTCCTGCAGTTTGCCACAAAAACATATATACTGTATCATGATATATTAAGAGCATGTTTTACTGATATGAAGGTAATGAAAATTATATTTAAAAAAAAAACCTTTTTAATATCTTTCCGTAAGCGTTCATTTTCCATGATGATTTTCTCAATGCCCTTGGTTTTTGACTCAAGTCTTGCGTTTAGCTGTTCCTCTTGTTTTCCTTTCAGCTTTTCATATTCAGACTGTAACAAAAAGAAAGATGCACATTATTATGCCAAGTAGAAAATAACTATTTGTCACATCACATTTTTAAACAATATCACAATCTTATTGTTTCCACAAATTATACAGATGCAACTTGCATATGGTCTTTGCAAATTTTTTTTT